TATATCTGTAGTGGTCTTCTTTCCCTAGCTGCCACCCTACTAGAATTCTGAATCCATTAGAAAAATAAAAATAAAAATAAATCCCAAAGACATGTTTCTACAGGATTAAAAAATCATGTAGGATGAAGTTATTTCAGCTTCAACTGCATGTTAATGATATGCTTTGTGTCATTATAAGAAAGGGGGAAAAGGTTGGATATCTTCTAAAGAGCTTCTATGAGATATGTTTGCACAAAGAAATTAAATCTTAACAAGAACCATCAGTACTAAAATTATTAGACAATACAATATACTAATTATATCCAAGTTTGAAAATTCACCAACTAGTTCTGAATAAACCTGGAACATTTTCTGGAGTTCTTCTGACAAGTAGGAAAATCCTATAATCTAGTCGTATAAACTATATGACTATAGCTTATTGTAGTATATGACTACATAATCCTATAATCTAGTCATATAAACATAAAGTTAAAGAGACAGGGTGAGATTAAGGGACAGAAACTTAAAATGAGAATACTTTTAATTCTAAGGTCCTCTGTAATTATCACAAAAGTCAGCGGCTGAGGAATAATAAGGAACTAGGAAGAAATTTAGTGACTAAATTTAATAATTTAGTAAATCAATGATTAAACAAGAGAAACCATTTATTGAATACTCATTATAGATAGGCACTGCATTAAATGTGATACACATACACACACGTACATGATCTTATTTGATCCTCTTACTAACACTCTGAAGTATGTACTACTGTTACCTCTATCTTACTGATACTGGAAGAGACTGTGAAACTTGCTCAAACTGGTGGATCTAGGATTTCAAACGAGGTCTATCCAACTCAAACGCTTGATATAAACCCTCTACTATCTCCCTATACCCCAAGACAAATTCACTGATGGCAGGAATTTTACCTTATCTTTGTATTCACTATTATATAGTTAGCACAGATGGCAGTGCTAATAAGCATTTAATAAACAACACATGATGAATGACAAAGAGACCAAGAAAAAAATGCTTTAGAGAAATGCCCTAATATTGTCATCAGTAACTCCTCGGTTGAACGGTAATTTATCAGGTTAAATGAAATAAACGTGGCATGGATGAACATAGAAATGGAGGAAATAATTTTCATGTGTACTAAATATAAGAGAAAAAGACTGGAAAGAGGAGATTGGTTCAGAAGACTTCATGAAAGAGGTATTATCTACAAAAATGGGAAGGGAAAGATAATTCTAGACATGGGATATAATAATAGGATCTGAATACCAATGGATAGCTTTTAAAGTATTTCTATTTATGTTATTCCACTGACTTCTTCAGATATCCCTAAGATGTGTACAAGATTATTAACACCTCTTTTTCTCTATCAGAAAAAAGATTTGGGGCTTCCCTGGAGGCTCAGTGGTTGAAAGTCCGCCTGCCGATGCAGGGGACACGGGTTCGTGCCCCGGTCCGGGAAGATCCCACATGCCACGGAGTGGCTGGGCCCGTGGAGCCATGGCCGCTGAGCCTGCGCATCCAGAGCCTGTGCTCCGCAGTGGGAGAGGCCACAACAGTGAGAGGCCCGCGT